CAATCTGGACTTTGCTCTATTTAAAACTGTTGTAGAGCAGGGAGATGTGCATTAATCTTGTAAGCCTCAGAGAATTACTGGCAAGATGGATGGCTAATAAATTTTATAAATAAATGAACAAGGACCATGTCCTCCCCTTGAAAATAAAGGCAAAACTCATGTTGTAAAATAGATTAAGATAGCCTTTTCTACCTCTCAGGTTAGTAGCAGTCCTTTCAAAGTGAATTATAAGCAATATAAACAGTTGCAAATAAAATATAAACAATAGGAGAGAAAAAATGTTTTAGAATTTTGTTAACCATAGGAGAGTCTATGTCAATAGCTCTCCAGGTAGAGGTAGAAACGGGGTGGGAAAAGGCCAGATAAGCATGTTATTGCAGTGATTGCCAGTCTCAGTATCCTTCTCTTAGAGTAGTCAATGGCAATGAGTCCCCTATTGTATCCAGAGAACTTGCTGTCTGGGGCTGATGGGAGTTTACCAGGTTTGAAAAAACTGTTTCAAAAAAATAGCACAGAGCACATTTTTGTCCTGAGAGCTAGTAAACAAAAGAGACAGATGGAAATGGGGTGAAGAGAAGGTCATTCAGTCTGTTGCATTTGCCTGGCAGGAGAAAGCAGCATAAGAATTAGGAATACAAATTGGGTTTATATTTGATATACAGCCATCACTGGAATTCTTTCATAATGTCTTGACAGCATGAATTTTTCTTAGCTTTTTTTTTTTTTTTTTTTTTGCCCTTGGAAATCTCAAATGTTTTTTTTCCTTTGTTAGCTGAGGAAAGACTGATCTCTCCGTTGCTAATAAATTCCTAGTGTGGCTAGCATTAATAGTAAAGGCAAGATCTTTTCTCTTTTTCCACTGTGTTTTTGCACTTGATTCCCCTCTTGTATATGTACAAAACTATGAGTTTCCCAATCTCATTTAGCAGCAGGTGGAAGCAAATAGGATTATAAAGCTTCCCTATGCCTTGTCACACCATTGGAGTGCATTGTATCAGTCAATGTTGCTTCCTACAGCCATCCTCTTGAAGCCTTTCAGAAGCATTGGAATATAATTCTCATGCTCATTCTACATGCTCATTCATGACAAGGATCTACTTTGTTATATGGGGGTTGTAACTGTTGAGAAGGATATTTAGAGTGGATTTAGGTAGGAAACTTTCTTGAGGAAGATGGGAATTGAATTTAGGACTTTCTGTATTCAAAGTAGGCCTTCAGATCTTGAGCTATATGCTTGACCCACTCAAGTAGAATTCTTCCATGTTACAAATTCAAGGAAAGAGAAAAGGAAAGGATGAAGCATCATCCTACTTCCCTTAATTTTCATATGAACAACTGGCTAAGTGTCATCTGCTTCTTTCTCTGGAGAAGTGATTAATATATGCATGTTGCAGACTCATAAATGTATCCCAATGGAATAAATGTTCATGCTTTTGGCCTGAAAAATACAGATTGTCCTTGATTTACAACCATTCTTACAACAGCACTGAAAAAGTGACCTATGACAGGTCTTCACACCTATAACCATTGCAGGCTGCTTATAAATTATAGTCACATTTCCAATTAATTTATCATGCTAGGATAATTTTCTTATGGATATCTAAGTCCAAAATAGTTTTCCTCTTCTTTCTCCTTTTGATTGAACAGATTACATAATTTAATTTAAAAAAAAAACATGCACATCAATAATCACAATAAGTGGAGCTACTGAACGTTGCATAACTGATCAATTAGACTCTCACACAAAGGATTTATTTCACCCATTTTATTATTTTCCAACTTGAAGCAGTCACTTTTTTAAAAAAATGTTACTAAATTGAATTTAACATTCTTTTATAAAAACAGGTCCTGCAGAAACTAGCATATGTGTGTATGTACGTATTCGAAATTAATAGTTAATTAGAATAACATGATTACTGAGAATTAATATAACTCCTTTTAAAAATATTGTCTATTTTTATTAGACAAAAATTAGATGAAAATTTAACTCGTGACTGTTCTTTGGAAGGACAGCTACTGAATGGCTCAAATACTTTGGCCACCTAATGAGAAGAGAGGACTCATTGGAAAAGATCCTCATGTTGGGAAAGCCTGAAGGCAAAAGGAGAAGGGGATGGCAGAGGATGAGATGGTTAGATAATGTGATCAACACAATGAACATGAACTTGGGCAAAACCCAGGAGACAGTGGAGGACAGGGGGGCTGGTGTGTTCTAGTCCATGGGGTCGCAAAAAGTCAGATCCAATTTAGTGACTGAACAACAACACAAAAACACAGTGTTGTCTAATCCCCCTTAATGCACATTATTAATTACTTCCATAATATTGCTATCAAGCTTCGAAGTGTTTTCAGGCTGCTTTCACTTTTACTGCTTCACAGCTTGTCAACAAACCTAGGGGGAAAGTGAGGGAGAGATTGGAATGTTCATTCCAGACAATAACAAGAAACTGTCCCATGTGAACCAAAGATGTTTCAGCAAGGGTTTGTCAGAGGTGTGGAGGTTTTCCCATTCCAGCACCTGGATATCTAATTGGACAATGTGATCTAAACTAATGTGGGGAGGGATTTACTTTAATTATATTGAATTCCTCAGGTATTAGCCAGAGCTGGTTTTGCTTTCATTCTGTGCCAAACGATGTACTCAATAAAGTTTTGCATTAAGAGATTGGACTGTTTCAATGGAGCCTGCTTGGTTGGGTTTGTCAGTCAAAACTTTGACAATTGCCCTAAGCTGAATTGTTCTCTTTCAGCCCTTGGTTGATATGGGAAAGGATGAAGAGGAAGTACTATGTATAATGCCTGGAGCAAATCTAAGAATTAGATAGAGAATTTAGAGCTGCCTACCAATAGCAATTGCACATAAGGTTCACACAACAATATTTATTTTAAAGCAGACCGATAAATATATAATGTAAGCCATGATTTTGTTTTCTTCAAATGCAGCTTCTCCTGTAGAGCAACCCAGCTTATGTACACATCAGCAGGATATGTTTAGATATGATTCTTTTTGCAAATTCATTTCCACCCTCAATTTATTTATGTAGTTTCTCTGTATGGGCAGATGGGCTGTCATCTTCCAGGTAATTTTTCCCATTCATCTACAGTTTATAACAATGTTTGTTCTTCAGAGATTTATTATTCTTATGGCTGATATCTAATCCAACATCTGAGTAATAACAGTGTCTGGCTCCTATTATAATTTGCAATGACAATGGTACCCTCCTCAGTGTACATTTGGTTAACGTCAGTCACTGCACTAGCTTGTCCCCCTTCACCCCAGCTAAAAGGATTTCAGATGATTGTTTCAAAGCATTTCCATCCTACTCTTCAGCCAGTTTGCCTTGATACTACCATCAATTTACAATTCAATAATTTATCAATATAACTGAGCTGTATATGCCTGTGAATACATAACCAGTTTGTACATATAAAAAACCAAATTTGAACCAATTTTAGTTTCTTTCTTCTTTTATAATTGTATCTATTTTTTCTTTATTTTTCTGGATTTAGTTAATAAAAGGATGGAGTGGAAGGCCACCTCTGCATTTATATTTACACTCTAAAGCAAACAATAGCATAAAAGGAAAAAGAGATGGGGAGGGAAAAGGAAAATGACCCAAATCAGTGGCCAATTTTTAGGGTATTATAGAACTTTTATGCACAACAGTAGTGCAGAGTGAGTGGTATAAATATAAAGGGAAGGGGGGGTTGTTTTCAGCACCAGCTGGACTTGTATAGTTTGAAGATTGAAGGGGACAAAGGTTGCTGGCTTTTCAGCTGAGCTCATACAATAATATTATTTCCTTTAGCTCTTTGAGCTGAATGGAATAGAGTTTCTCAACCTTGGGAACTTGAAGATATATGTACTTCAAGTCCACACATCTTAAAGCTGTTGAGAAACTTCAAAACCAGTGGATTATGGACAGGTAAAATCCAGTGAAGCTGATTCTGTGCAGGGCTGATGCAGACTCTGCCATTCTTTTTTCCTCTTGGAATGGCTGCTAAAAGACCTAACTATGTTGGAAAAACAACAATAGCATTGTCACAATCTGTTTGTCAAAGGCTGTTCTTTCGAACACAAAACTATCCAAATGTTTTGGTATGTCAACTCTTAGAATTCCTAAACAATATGATCCATTGTTTGAGCTGGATGAGGCTTAAAATTGACAGATACTTCCTCTTATCCTTTTGTGGTTTTCCTCTGTTCTGTATTTGCATTCTTGTAACCCTGTATTCTGATTGGCTAGGACGCACAGCGTTCGGATTGGTTGTGTACAGCACTGATTGGCCGTTATGGATCAACTGCGATTGGCCTAGCCGATCGCGGGAAATTCGAACGGCTGTCATTGGCCGCGGCGCCTGGCACAAGTTCTATATAAGCTGCCGCCGAGCTGATGCAAGCAAGCCGATCTACCACTCAATAAAAAGAGCTTGAAAGTCACTGGTCTCGCGTCTCTCCTTGGGACCGATCCACCAACGTAACACTGGCGACGAAGGTGGGATCGTGAGACAAAGACCCACCACGCATGTGGCACCACGGCACAAGCAACCAACAAGATGGCCAGCAGCACCGCGCCACCCGCACCCTTCAACCAGGCTGCAGAGGACTGGGAATCGTACATCGATAGATTCCTCATGTTCCTGGAAAGCAGCAACCTTAAGGACGCGAATGGACAGAAAAAAAGGGCCGTGTTCCTGACACACTGCGGGCCTGCAGTATTTAATATGGCGAAAGCCCTCGCCAAACCCGAGGACGTGAAGGCAATGGACTGGGCCGACCTCGAACCCCTGTTGCGGAGCCACTATGCACCCGCTGTACCCACCCTCATCAGATGGCACGACTTCTACCGAAGGGACCAGAATGAGGGTGAGAGCATCAGCGACTTCTTGGCTGATCTACGGAACCTCGGGGGCATGTGTGGCTTCACCGACATCGACGAAGCCCTGCGAGAGACCGTGTCGTCCTGGTGCTCAAAGACCCAGTCCTACAGAGCCGGCTAATGGCAAAGGGCGACATCTCCCTTGCCAACACCCTCGCCGAAGCGACCGCAGCGGAGGCTACCAGGAAGTCGGCGGCTCGGATGAGGCAGACGAGCGCAGCGGACCAGCCGACGACTACCGAGGCGACCCCGACCCCGGAGAAGCACCCCGAACCAGGCCGCCGAGCGACCACCACCACCCATCATGGCGACCTCGACTCCCTCTCCGACACCAAGGACGAGGAGGAGGACATCCACCGACTCCAGGCGGAACGAGATCGGCGCGAGCGGCGAGGTCGTAAGTCAGGGTTCCAGTGCGCCGGGTGTGGGGGTGACCATCCATGGTCAGAATGCCGGTTCCTCGATGCAATCTGCCGCCATTGCAACAAGCGGGGCCACATCACCAAGGTGTGCCGATTCAAGCGGAACCATGCCCCCCGACTACGAGACGGCAGCCCCCGGGGACGAGATGGCACCCCCCACAGAACCAGAGACCGGTACACCGAGAGCCGATGGAGCCGGGACGGAAGAAACAGACGTCTCAACGAGGCCAGACAACGAGAAGAAACCCACCAAACGGTCGTCATCGGCCACTCTTCAAACGGGGATGCCCGGAAGGTACGCGTGGAGGTAGGCATTGAAGACCAGCCATGCAAAATGGAGGTGGATTCTGGGTCCTATCTCTCCATGGTTGCATGGCGGGAAATCAAGCGCCTGGTGCCTACCATCCACAGGCGCGAACTGGAAAGCCAGAAGCTCATCCTCAAAGACTACCAGGGAAACCACATTCCCGTGGTCGGAATAGGACACTTTAAGATTGCATTTAAAGGGCGCACCGAGATACTTCCCCTGACAATTGTGGACAAAGACCGCCCTAGCCTCTTGGGACTGCAATGGTTCGTGCCATTGGGAATAGAAGTGACGGGCATCAACCACGTCACCGAGGCGGACTGGGAGGAGCAACTCGCAAAGGACTTCCAGGAGGTCTTCGACGGCAGCCTAGGCAAGTACCGAGGGGCCCCAATATCCTTCAGCCTAGACCCTAACATTGCCCCAATCCACCTGAAACCCCGGCGAGTGCCCTTCGCACTCAGACCCAAGATCGATGAGCAGTTAGACAAGCTCATCGAGCAAGGGGTACTTGAGCCAACAGACCATGCCAGGTGGGAAACCCCTATAGTCACCCCGGTCAAACCAGATGGGTCGGTGAGAATCTGCGGTGACTACAAGGCCACCCTCAACCGCGCCCTGCAACAAAGTGCCTACCCCGTCCCAGTGGTACAGCACCTCCTGCACTCACTGGGGGGAGGCAAGGTTTTCGCGAAACTCGACCTGGCACAGGCTTATCAGCAATTGCCGGTCGACGTAGAAACCGCAGAGGCACAAACCATAGTCACCCACCGGGGGGCTTTTCGCTGCAAGAGACTCCAGTTTGGAGTCAGCGTAGCACCGGGGTTCTTCCAAAGCCTCATGGAGAGGCTACTCCAAGGGATTAAGGGGGTCGTGCCCTACTTTGATGACGTGCTGGTGTCAGCGACCAACCAGAAACAATTAGAAAGCCGTCTAAGGGAGGTGCTACAAAAACTCAAAGACTCGGGGCTGAAAGTCAAAAAAGAAAAATGCCAGCTGTGCACCGAGAAAGTCGAATTCCTGGGGTACCTCCTAGACCAGCACGGAATCCACCCAACGGAAAAAAACATCAGGGCCATCAAGGAAGCCCCTAGACCAAGAAATAAAACCGAACTGCAGGCGTTTCTTGGACTGATTAACTTCTATTATGTTTTCCTGCCCCAAAAGGCGACCGCGGCGGAACTGTTGCATAGGCTGCTGGACAAGACAGCCACCTGGAACTGGGGTAGGCGAGAGGAAAACGCATTCAACCGGACTAAAGACCTACTCACATCGGACGCTGTCCTCATCCAGTACAGCGAGGCCCTACCACTAGCAGTCACTTGCGACGCATCACCCTTCGGCATCAGGGCCATCCTCAGCCACACTCTTCCAGACAGAAAAGAGGCACCCATCGCCTTCTTTTCAAGCTGGACAAGGAGGCCCTGGCAGTCATCGCCGCCGTAAAGAGGTTCCACGAGTACCTCTACGGCAGAACCACAAGCCACTGTTAGGGATTCTGGCAGGGAACAAGGCTCTCCCCAAGAATGACAAGGTGGTCCGAATTCCTTGCCGCCTACAGTTACCGGCTAACTCACCGACCCGGTAAGACAATATCACATGCAGACGCCTTGAGCCGCACGCCCTTGCCCGACCTGGACACCGACCCAGCACCCACCGCGTCCACTCTGAGTATAGAGACCTTACCCAATCTCCCCGTGACCGCATCAGACATTGCCCGCGAAACCAATAAAGACAAACATCTGGCGCAGGTCTTAAATTGGGTGGAGAAGGGGTGGCCGGAAAAAGACGATGACGAACAATTCAGGACCTTTCGAAACCGACAAACAAAACTTTTCACTCAAAAGGGTTGTTTACTGTGGGGGGACAGGGTTGTTGTCCCGGAAAAATTACAGAAAAGGGTCTTGGAATTGTTGCATGAGGGGCACCCGGGCATCGTTAAGACTAAAGCCCTGGCCAGGAGTTACGCCTGGTGGCCAGGGATGGACAAGCAAATCGAAGCCTGGGTGGCAACATGCAGGCAATGCCAAGAATCCAGGCCGAGCCCTCCCGCCGCCCCAATCCTGGAATGGGAAACCCCCAGAGGGCCATGGTCCAGGATTCATATAGACTTTGCCGGACCCACAAAGGGACACACCTTCCTCATAACGGTAGACGCTTACTCCAACTGGTTGGAGGTAAGCAACATGAGAACTACCACCACAGAGGCCGTTATCAAAGAACTCAACAGACTATTCTCAACCCACGGCCTCCCAGATGTAATTGTATCAGATAACGGGCCCCAGTTTACTGCTCTGGAATTCGAAAAATTCCTAGCGGAACGGGGAATACGGCATGCACTGACAGCGCCAGCACATCCGGCGGCGAATGGGAGGGCGGAACGAATGGTCCAATTTACAAAAAAAAAACAATCCCAAAAATCGAAACCAGGGAAATACAAGACAAAATTAATAAAATGCTATTCATACAACACATAACTCCAAACACGACAACCAACAAAAGCCCGGCAGAACTATTAATGGGGAGGAAATTAAGGTCCCCACTAGACAGGCTGCACCTCACGTACGACCCAGAAAACCCCCCCGATTCATCTAGCAAGCACCGAACATTCGCACCGGGCGACACAGTATACGCAAGGAACCTCACAGGGGACCCACTCTGGGTACCAGCAACAATAACCCAGATAACAGGTCCCCGCTCGTACCGGCTACAAACAACCAACGGACGAGCATGGAAGCGACACATCGATCAGCTAAGATCGAGAGCTAACACGGGAAATACAACTGACACGCAGACACACAGAAACAAAGAACCCGAAGAAGGAAGGGGAAACCCAAACAGCAGCCCAGAAAGAGAGGGAAACCCCACAACATCAAACAAACAAACCCAACAAAAAGGAAACCAACAATACTCACCAGCAGAGCCACCGACGGACGACCAGCTTGAAGCCTCGCCTGGAAGGAGCAGCCAAGCAAGTTCAACCAGCCCGGGAAGACCAGGCGGGAACAGCAGAGCCAGCAGCTCGACCAGCCCGAGTAAACCGGGAGGGAGCTATGGCGAAAGGCCCGTCTCACCCTTCCAGGTGGTTCCATCGATGAGGCAGGGAGCAACACAGAACCCAACCGAACCGGTCGGAGATCAAGCAACAACTAACCTGCGCAGGTCCAGTAGACAAGTACAGAGCCCCGCCTACTTACAGGACTACATCACGTAGGACCATACCAAGAGGGGAGGGGTGTTCTGTATTTGCATTCTTGTAACCCTGTATTCTGATTGGCTAGGACACACAGCGTTCGGATTGGTTGAGTGTACAGCACTGATTGGCCGTTACGGATCAACCGCGATTGGCCTAGCCGATCGCGGGAAATTCGGACAGCTGTCATTGGCCGCGGCGCCTGGCACAAGTTCTATATAAGCCACCGCTGAGCCGATGCAAGCAAGCCGATCTACCACTCAATAAAAAGAGCTTGAAAGTCACTGGTCTCGCGTCTCTCCTTGGGACCGATCCACCAATGTAACATCCTCTGTCATGTTTTTCTTGGATTAACTACTGTATCAGAATGAATTGGGTAGAATAGTTGTTGCTTCAAAGAAGGGAATGAACTAGATCAAGGGTAATTAAACCATCATATTCCAGATATTGCCCACCACTGCGCTTATTATTTGGGGCAACTAGATATGGTAAGTTAGCAGTTTCTGGATAACTTTAGATTGCTAATCCTAGAATGTCTAAGATAAGATTGTTTAATTCCCTTCAATCCTATAAATCAGTAATTTTGGCTAAAAATATTTAGAAAGGGGTATCTAGAGAAGGAGTATTGTATGTTGAATATCAGTTCCCTGAATACTCCTATGGGATTTTGTTATCTGTCCCACTTTAAGTTGGGATAAAAGTGTGTACTTTTGAATGATAAACCCTGACTTTAAAATTGGGTATTTTTGAAGCGGTTCTTAATGCCAGTAATCTCAATAGTCTACCTCCCATTTTCCTGGCTTTGACGCACATGGAGCTGCTTAACTGATTGGGGCATGTTTGAGCTATTAATTATGCCTTCCTGGTCAAGAGATCCTCATATCCTTTTCAGATAAAAAGGAACATTAAATTCACTTGGCAAAGCATTTTCAGAGCACTGCGATAAAGCACCAGGAAGACAATCAGTGATATATTCAAGAATGGTAAGGACTCCATTTCTCAATATTGGGAAGTATGATAGGGTGGAAATTGAGGAGGCCACTAGAAGCTTAATGGCTGGCAGGCAGGCAGGGAGGAAGGAAGCTTAAAAGTGTAATTCGACACTTGCATAAACTCAAATCCAATGAGTTGTACTAACTTCCAGTATCTCTCTTTGCTGTGAATAATATTATGAAACTTCTAAAACACAAATCTCATTCAAAGATAATGCTTTTAGGTTGTTCAACTTTAGGTACCCCTGTGGTTTACAAGAGCCCTTCTTTAAAGAAAGGGTATGTTAGGAGAATGCAGTAAGTTGAATTAATTTGGTACAACTAGCATGCAAACTTTCAAGTTCTACTTATAGAGATTGTTCTGTGATTGAATGTTTTGTAAACTGTGGTGATGGAGAAGACCAGTGATTGCTGCTTGTAACTTTTTAAAAATAAGCTTGTCGGGATTGATCAAACCTAAAAGAATAAGCCTCTGCTAACTGCTCGTGCTAAACAGTTTGCAATTCATACTGCATCAAAGAAACAATAATACGTGTATGTGTATGTTTGTAAGTCTGTACTTGGCTATAATACTGTCTGATTCACACCAGAACAACTGAATAAGGCAGAAGCTGAAATCCAACCTTCTTATTGTTAGTTAATTTTTAAAAAATCATATTTTGCTCCATGTTCGTTCAGGATCCAGAATAAGTAAACAAATTTAAAATGATACTTTAGCAGTCATTCAGGTATGTATATTTGTTTTCCCCTTTTCTTTTCTAATGTGCTCTTTTCAGAAGATTCTTTCAGGAATCATTTTAGACTTTTATATGGATGTTTCAGAATAATTTGGATCAGAGGTAAAGAGAGCAGCAGTTGACTGACAGAATTTTCTGTTGTATTTTTTCATTCTTTGTTTTGGAAAACTGAATGAGAGAGCAGTCTGAATACCTGTGAAGGGTGTGGGAATCGATATCCCAATTAGGTCAATATCTTTAATTACTCAACTCACTGGCATGAAATAAAATGCAAGATTTTTACATACTTGATAACCATTTCTGGAAAGTTTTGCATGCTGTTTTGTGCTTTGTGACTGGTTTCAAAAAGAGGTTGTCCTTAAGTCAATTGTGGAACTGTCCTTTTAGATATATTATTGATGCTGGAGTTTGAGTGGATATTTTGCTAAAATCTTTCCCTTACAGGATACACAAAAATTTCTAAGAAGCAGTGAAAAGAAACTTGGAAAAATGAAGATTCAACTCTTTCCTAAGCTAGCAACTGAATGCTCCCTGTGGTTCTTGTTAAAAGAGGAAAGAGAATCCCGGAAATTGGTTTTACTAGTTGTGTTTGTGGCTTTGCTAGTAGACAATATGCTTTTCACAGTCGTAGGTATGTAGTGTTTTGATTTGCTCATTCTTCCTAAATGTGGAGGCTTTTATATTGCTTTTATATTGCTTTCTCTCACACAGCAGCTTATTTCAGCAGCCACTTTTTAATAGTATCCATTCAATTTACCCAGAATTCCTCATACATCGTTCAAGGGCATTCTGAATAAAATAATATTGGCTGCCAGTTGAAATGATATTAGTTGCTGTATATATTCATGTACAAGCAGATAACCTTATTAGTTACAATATATACTTCTGTATAAGCGGATATGCCACACCCTATTTTTCATGGTACAGTGTATTGGTTAAAAATTCAAGGGTTTGCTTATCTGTAGATAGGTGTATATGCATATGGAATATATGGATGCTATAGTTTAACATATGCAGTGGTGGGTTTCAAAGTAGTTAACCACCGGTTTGGTGGGCATGGCTTTTTGTGTGCACACGCACCAAGCACGCACTTTGTGCAGGCACAGAGGCTTTCCTGCTCACCTCCTGCACTCCTGCACTCTCCCTGTAGCTTCAGCAGCTGATATGCAAAGCAGCTGTGCTTCAAAAGTAGGGAATAAAGGTCAGTAAGGGAGCCTGGATGGGCAAGTGGGCCCAATAGCAGCTCGTTAGAGAAAACCAGTTCGGTCTCCACTGATCCTCGGCACTACTGGTACACCAGAACCGGGCTGAACTGGTAGAATAGATGTACTTATGGATATGTCCATCTGTAAATAAGGCAAACCCAGTTTTGAGGGTACATTTTGGCACCTAAAATTTTCAAGTTTATCCCAAAGTTTATACAACTTTATACTCCAAGTTTGTATTTGACTGCCATCATCCCAAACCTAATCAGATTGCCCTGCAATAGAGCGAGTGTGTATATTAGGGGTGTCCAACCTTTTAAGACTTGTGGACTTCAACTCCCAAAATTCCCCAGCCAACCATGTACAAGTCTTAAACTTGACAAGGTTGGAACCTCTGTGTATGTGTTTGTGTGCATAGATAAAAAAGCAGTTGGTAGAAGGCAGAAAGCAATACATTTAAGATAAAAACAAAGAAACAAACTTTTTTTTGCAGGAGAAATATTGCCTCAGTTTTCTCTTTCTTTCAGTGCCAATCATCCCTTCATTTCTATATGCTGCATACAAAAATATCAGCCACTCTGCAATTCAGGCCACACTTCCCAGGGTTCCTGTGCCTTTCTCAGCTAATCCCTCTACCTTGGTCTTGTTGGACTATGACAACATCACAGTGACAGCCTCAAGCCGTGATACTCTAGCCAGTGTCAGTGGGAGCCAAGAAGGAACAATTGCCTCTCCTTTCCCCATGGAGGCTTTGGACCATAGTTGTGCAGATGGAATGGACTCTCTTTCAAATGAAAATGTTCGTGTTGGTCTCCTCTTTGCCTCAAAAGCTTTGATGCAACTCATAGCAAATCCCTTTGTGGGATCCTTGACCAACAGGTAGGTCAGCTTTTAAACAAACAAATCAGAAAGACTTTCTGTATTATAACACACTCAATTTGCAAACTTTCCAAATACTCAGTAGGAGCTAGTTTGAGCTAGTGGTTAAGCATCAGGCTAGCAACAGGAGACTCTGACTTCTAGTATTGCCGTAGGCCAGTCTCTCATTCTCAGCCTTAGGAAGGAAACAATGGCAAGTCACTTCTGAAGTCTTGCCAAGAAAGAGCTGGCTTCGTGCTCAAGGCAGGACTTCTTGTTATCTTAGCAAAAACTGGGGAGGGTCCTGTCTGAGACACTTTTTAAAATTACATTTCTGCCCTGGACCCAGTTTTCTTTTATCTGACTATTATCTTGCAGTTTTTCTTATTATTCTTCAAGATTACTTCTTAAGCCTGTCTTACAGTTGCCATATTCGCAATAGGGCCTCTATGATGATTCACAACAGAGTCAGAAGACATGCATAATGGCAACTAAAACAGGCAACTGCAACTTGCAGTTTTAAAGCATCTCCAATATCTCATTTGATCTGATATTAGATCAGCCTAAGGATTCAGGAAATGAAAATTGTGTCCCCTACTGCGATAGACTCATACAGGGAAATCTTCTGTTTCCTCGTTCCGCCCAGTCATTCAAGAAATGTTGTGAAGTAGCTTGTGTTGTACAGTGAACTCAGAAACATTTTTGTCCCTGTAGGATAGGATACCATATCCCTATGTTTCTTGGATTTGTTATTATGTTCGTCTCTACACTCTGTAAGTATGAACACCTATACAACATGTATTTCCTCTGATGTTGCTGGATTTGAACCCATGGGAGTAGAATACAGCAGTTCCTTGTTCACCCCATTCAACTATGATTTACAGAATAGAGATGTGAACAATACAGAAACCTGTTCTTTAATTTTAGAAAGTGTGCAGAGAAGAATAACAAAGATGATAAAGGGTATAGAGTTAAATTGTATGATGAACATTTGAGGGAGCTAGGCAGGTCTAGCCCAAGAGAAGGATTGTGGGGGCATGATAGTTGTCTTCTAGTATTTCACAGAGAAGAGGGGATTGACTTATTCTCCAAAGCACCAAGGCCAGGAAAAGAAGTAATGGATGAGAGCTTGTTAAGGACAGATCCAATCTAGAAGTAAGGAGAAATTTTCTGACAGTACAATTAGTGGAACAGTTTGCCTCTCGGTGTTGCAGAGGCTCCATCACTAGAGATTTTTAAGAATAGACTGGTCAAACATTTGACTAGGATGGCATAATGGTATAAGGTCTCCTGCTTGTGCAGGGGGTAGGACTAGAAGACCTTTGAAATCCCCTCCAGCCCCATGATTCTATGCTTGTATAATCTATATTGAATAGTTTTGGTTCTGGGGCAGGCAATCTAGAATCCTGCAAATATTTTGGTCTCCAAACCCATATCTTGGGCCTTAGTTATATTGACTACAGATGCTGGGAGATTAAAACATTAGAACAGCTCAGTTTGCTTCATCTTGATATTTGTCTAATATAATTCAATAAAATAATATGTAACCAGAATTTCAGTGTACTGTCTTTAAATGTAAATTGGTTCTTGTTATTTTACAAATGACTGTTATTACTCAATTGGTCTATTGAATGGATAACTGGCAGTTTCTGCTTTACTTCTCATTTCCCAATATAAAATCAGTGTTGACTTAGGCTTCCATCAATTTATTTTTAAAAACTCTACATGAAAATTCCAGCATATGCATTTCATCTCATCTGCGTTGCTGTATGTAATTTTTCCCCTATATAACACTTTTGTCAGGTTTACAAGTGATGAAATCCATTCAAAAAGAAAACAGCAAAGTCCATCTTCCATAATAATTTCTTTTATTTAGAATAGCATCAAATTGGCAAAGTCTGTTGTAATTCCGGATCTGACACAACCTGAAATTACACCACATAATATTGGAAGTTACATTCTCCAATAGAAAGTCACATTCTCCAATAGAAATAAATCCACATTGCCTGGTGTCATCAAACTCCACCTCTGCGTCTCAGCAAGGGCAGCTTTTGTTCCCACAGGAAGAAACACCACCTAGCCTAAACAACTCTATCTCCATTCCTCCCACCTTACGAATGTGGCAAGACCGAGACTCTTTCCCCCAATAGCAGCAAAGAGAAAGAAAGAAAAAGAATATATAAAAAGGCTAAATAAAATGGCTACACATGTGTCAATTTCAGGCTTGACATACTTTTTGCAAGTAAACTTCTCCTAATGTAATACATTTTTATTCTTTCTTCCTTTTATATAACTTTTTTGTTCTGAACATTGTACAAAAAAATCAGAAAAATGCAGGTTTTGGCACATAAAGTTATTGAGGTTCATGAATTGCTTTGGCAAATCAGACCAATTAATGAACTACAATCATTTAGCAATGAGGCAATCAAGTTCTCTGCAAAAGTCCTTTTTTGAAAGCATCCATAGTTCCAGTAATCTGATTCTGCACCTTTTTCTTCCTTTAGTGTTTGCTTTTTCAAGGAGTTACACCTTAATGTTCATTGCTCGAACGCTGCAAGGCTTTGGTTCTGCCTGCTCATCTGTTGCAGGTAAACGTGCTGGAAGGTATTATTGGCAATGCTATAGATCTTGCACAGCTGGGACAATATCCTGGAGAGCCAGGAAGCACTTATTTATAATTAAATATATTTATATGGCTAACCAACTCACACTTGCTGACCCTGGGTAGTATACTATATTAAAAATCAACAATACAACCCCCCACACACACTGTAGTGGCAATAAACACAATAATAGAAGCCACGCAATTAACTCCGAATCAACCTGGAGTCCCCAAACTGGACTAACAAAATCATGTCTTCAGGGCCTTCCAGAAAAGTAGCAAAGAGAGAGTCAACTTTATTTCTGGGGGAATGATGTTCCAAAGGGAAGGAACCACTACAGAGAAGGCCCCTTTTCTAGGCTCTATTAGGTCTACTTTTTAAATAGATGAGATCTGCAACATTCCCTGTCTTCCCACTCTGATGAGTTGGGAGAATATTACATCTTGAAACTGAAAGCCCTTGTTTAACTTTGGTATCTCCAGTGATAGAAAGAAAAGTTGCCTACTTGGAATCTTTAATTGTTGCTATTCACATCACTTAGCTGGATGACCAAAGATCTCATTCCTTGTTCCCCAAAAGGGACCAAGAAAGATATGCCTCCTGTGATGTATAATTTTGATATCAGTTCTACATTACTTCTTGGAGAAAAGAGACTGATGCTGAAATTATAAAGGGAAAATATATTTATTGAGTTGAAAAGTTTGAGGTCATAAAAGAAATAAAAAAATAAAATCTTCAATATTGGAGGAGATTCGGGGTGGAACATTGGGGGAGCATCCTTTCTTCCGTATCACATGAAATTACAGCTTCCACAACAGCTGGTGGTGAAGAACAGGGGAAAAGAAGAATTCCATAGACCATGAAGGGAGTCTCAGTCTTTCACTTCTGTACAGTGCAATAACCCATGTCTAACACTAACCCATGTCTGTTGCTTATTTCCAACAAATCAAAACTGATTGGCTCAGCTGTGTCTCTGCCTGCAGGTCTGGGGATGCTTGCAAGTGTGTATCCCGATGACTGTGAGAGGGGAAATGCAATGGGAATAGCATTGGGAGGTCTGGCTTTGGGAGTGCTTGGTGAGTAAATGTACATTTAATACTGTTTAGGCATCTAGGAACTCATGCAGAGCTCACTTTGGTGCATCTCCCCAGCTGCTTCCTTTAGGACTCTGTTCATTATTCAGTTGTCTTTGTCTGTAGTTCTCTGGTAGCATTTCCCAACAGCCAAGCTGGAAAAAAATAGATCTGCTGTATATCCAAATGGGTCTTTGCATGTTAGCATGATCTACTGTGGATTATTGCTTAGCATTCCTGGAGAAGAACAAGTAAAGAACATTGGAGTATAGATACTCAAGAGTAGATACTTCTAATAAGGTCACCCAAGGCTCACTCTACTTCTCCCCTCCCAAACACAAGCAGGGATCTATATGGCAAGGATAGAAGAAGATACTGGAAGGTGATCACTTTAGTGATAGTAGTAAAGACATCATTTTCAACCTACTGGGAGAAGGCAATGATAAACCACTCCTGTATCTGACTAAGTAAACTAAATGGCTGGACAATATACTATCATATATTGGATGATGTTCAACATGCTACTGGGGAGAAGCTGAAGTTCTTTTGGAGTATTAGTAGTGTTTATAATGCATATTGTTGGTGATATTTTTATCTATTTGTTTATTAAATCTATATGTTGCCCATCTCACTGATAAGACTACTTTGGTAAGGCTATGTTGATACACAGGAAGAGAAAATCCAAACCTGCAAAATCAGAATTGCAATGGGAACATGAAATATTAGAAGCATGAACACGGGGAAGTTCAACACAATCAAAGATAAAATAAATTGACTACATGCTGACAGGTATCAATGAACTACAATAGGTTGGAGCTGGAAATATTTAGTCAGTCAGCTATGTTATAGCAGAACAACAATGGCAACAAAGAAGGAACATTGTAGCTTTGATAATCAGAAAGGATATAGGCCAGATACTATCAGGTAGACCTCTTGGACAACCATTGTCTAAGTTATCCACTGATGCAGAAGGCAAGGAAATTGATGAGTTTTAGGTCAAGTTCAATCACATCCTGCAAAGAAGGTGTGTTTTTATAGTTTGATACTATTGGAAATGGTTGGACTATTTGATCTAGAAAACAGAAATGAACCAGGAAAAGAACAATTTGCCAAGCAACTAACCCCAAATGCAATGTGGTTTACATTCATAGACTTGTGAGTCTCTTTTCATATTAGTACCACTAATGTGTTTTCTTTGCAGTGGGAGCTCCATTTGGAAGTGTGATGTATGAGTTTGTTGGGAAATCATCTCCTTTTCTGATCCTGGCAGTCTTGGCTCTCTTAGATGGAGGTAAGTCATCCTTTGAAGTAGTCAGGTCAGGGCCCACCTTGAATCATTGATCTGGAAAAGGCAGTTCCATCTGCCAATTTTTCTGTGAATAAATGTCATTGAGCATAGTGGGGCTTACATCTCAGAAAACATTCTAAGAAGATGGCAGGGTCAAGGGAGAACTGAGTTACTGAACAGAAATAAGATTGAACATAATTAGTAGAAAAGATGGAAAGATATTTCTATACATGAAATAATTATGTCTGCTTTAGTTTTGCAGCTTTGTATCCTGCATCCAACAAAGATTTCACCCGAGGTAGGGCAAAAATTCCTCTTCATGTTTCCTTTTTTGTATGTACTATAATATTTTTACCCTACTTATTGATGCAAAGGATCTACACATCTATTTACTGTTACTTTTAATGCAAAATAAGATGATTGTTTAAAAGTAGCAATCTAAAATATCAGATTAGGAGTTATAAAATCAAGAGCAAAACAAGCATTTTACTCAGAGCAAAAATATAGGAACTCTGAAAGCTACGTGAAAGCAAGCTTTTTTTTTGCAACAAACCAAAACAAAAAACAAAACAAAACAACTCCAATTAACATCTTCCTCTGAAGCATATCTGTCTTCTCTGTGTATTTTCCAGAATATCAAAGGAACCTCCTTTTTGACCTTGTTGTGGGATCCCTATATTTTGATTGCAGCAGGTAAGTTTTATTGCCTCTGTTTTGGGCATTTGGTCTTGAGGATACAATAACCATCATCTCAAGTTAGCTTCTGTGGAACTGAGGTAGAAAAGATTATTCTGATTACTAGCATTTGTTGTTTCTGGTCCTGCCTGCTGGAATAACACAGCATAAAGCATGCTAGTCTCCATATAGTTGAAGATGGTTTTACATCTCTCAAAGCAAAATGCACCCTACTCTTTCTATTGTCCCATGTGGCAAATGTAGAATCAGACAGTCTAAAGGGGGTATTAGTAGAAGAGCAGTCAGAGCCAGGGGCAGAATTAAATGTGTCATCAGCCTAGAAGATGTTTCTTGTATTCTTTGAGTTTTCTTCGTACAAATGGTCTAAGTCCAACCCCTCTTGAATTCTTTTGACTCTTATCTATATCAATTTAGTGCTGAACATTAGTTGACTAGATTCTTGTGTACAGGCGTGAGCAATAAATCTTCTTCATTGCAACTTAACATATGGTCCTGATTCTTTGCACCTGACAGTATTAGGTCATTGCGTGCAGTGCAGATTTTCAAATTAATTGCTGTCCAATGTCTCATTCAACACATCCAATAAATGTGAGCTCAGTCTGTGTAGAAGGTTCCATTTTCAAACTAATAGAAGAATTGTAGGAAGTCCTTACTAAAATTATCTCTGCCTGAAAGGTGTTATTTCATATTTTGCATTTGCCCTCTTGGTCTTTTTCTTGCATTTCTTTGTCTTTTTCTTTGGGATAGCTTTTAGTTACTGAATAAGGGCTATCATGTCCACTCTCACTTGGGGTTTTGCAAGTCCAAGAACATATCAGTTCCATCTATCTCTTGTCATTGGCTTTCAATCTCCCAAGCATGCCAAGAGGGCCTTTCTTTCCATCTGTTTTACTTTCCCCATGCCTTTCTTCAGATGTGATGCTCTTAATACATCCTATAATTGACCCTATAATTGAGGTGGGAGTTTGGCTGATGCTCTGCTAATTGCAAGAAAACTCATAAAGGTTCTGCATCTTTTCTCTTCCTCCAGGTTCAATTTGCTTTGGAAACATGGGAGTTGCTATTTTAGAGGCTACTTTGCCCATTTGGATGATACAAAACATGTGCTCCCCAGAATGGCAACTGGGTATGTTTTTTTAAAAAAATAATTTTCATAGGAATTGGGTGGTAATATGTTTAGATTAATTTAGTGTTTAAATTTTACACTGATACAAATTGTATATATTTAAACTCAATTCAGGAGGAGTTCAAAACTATTTGTGTTCCTTGGGATGAGCTTGATCTTTGAATGGCAAGCTGGAAACCATACTTCAAAAATAACAGATGGGTCAGGAGTAAATCTAGATTTCTTTTCATTGAGTTTAATTAAACTTAAATTAAATTATTTAATTGAAATGAAAATAATGCTTATAAAAAGATAATTTCCTCTTCTGTCCAATGAAAAACATTCAGTAGGAATTGTAAAAGAACTCTGGGATTGCTACTATATTGTATCTTTGATGCATCAGTTTTGAGTATGTTGGAAGAACCATAATTTTCTTCCTGTATGAAACAGGCTCAAAATGGGACATGTTCATGGAGGTTGGCTGTTAGCTTCATCTGGACAGGAAATGCTATTATAAACTTCCTGTTTGGGCTGCAGCCTTGCCCAAACCACAGTAATCTTTCTAATACTTGTATGGATTTGTGTGTCTCTCAGCTTTATTCCTAGTCTCATATCTGTCTGCCTTATCTTTCAGTGTCATCTTGGCAGCAACACCTGTAGGCTCAGTAAAGCAGTATTAAATTTGAAAAAAAGAGTCTTCTTTTATCTATTAATGAAAATTGACACAGTCAAGAAAGAAAAAGAAAGAGCGAAATCTGGGCCTATGGCTATTGAAGAGTTCCCTACTGATTAAGGAAAAAGCTTCTTTAGAGGCAGAGGGTTGGTGACTCAGCATATGGCAATTATATGCCACCACAGAGATGGAATAATGAAATAAAATAGCTGTCTTGTTTTGTAAAAAGCACTGAAATTGAATTTATGGAGGAATAATGCTCTCAATGACACAACAATTGAATTGCTACCTTGGCTTAGCCAAGTGACTGAGAGTTGCTAATCAGTTTAAAGGCTGGCTAAAGCTAAGGCAGCCAGGAGAAACCCTTGATAAGATGGAGGGTCTTTGAGGATGACTTACCATCTTCTTTATGCCTTTCTGAAAAAACAGCAAGGGGGAGATGAGTGAAGTTGTTATCAAGAGAATGGCAAATGTAGGGATGATGATGGTGAAGGGATGCCCGCACTGGACTGGAGACAACATCCATGCAAGACAAAGTTCTCCAAAAATTTTCTAGATCTGTGTTCCCCTAGTTTTGTAACACTGTCCCATTTTCCTTTCCATATCCATTCTCCTTATTTTTTATATCCCTTGATATTTGCTCTGCTCCATTTGTGCATGGCATCTTTGTTTTATCTTGAATACCTTTTTGGTAGAATCTACATTGATTTTCTTTTTTAAAAAAAATGCAAACAATAAATATGTGGATCCTCAAGTAGTTAGAATCTGAGCAGTTTCTCTGGTCATTACCAGAAGGAACATTCTATGCAGTATTTAATCATATTCTAAGGATTGCTAATAAAACTGGCATTTCAAGACCTTGGAGAGTCTAAAAGAACTTGTATTCACAAGATAGGGCAGAAATTTAAAGTGTCTACTATGCTGGAATCTATCCTAGTTTGTTCTCCCAGGTGCTTTTCTTTTCCTGAATAGACTTGGGGTGGGTTGGGGTGGGGAGCAATGCTTTGATCTTGAGACAAATGGCATATTTATTTATTTGTTTCATTTATAAAGCTGTCCACCTTACAGCAGTGACTCTGAGTGATGTACCCAGATTAAGACTATCACCACAACATATAATCCATGTCACCCTGATTAAAACAGCCACAATAAAAGACACACCACCAATAGAAAGTCTTGGCCCTTGTCCACCACTTGTCACTGTTTCTTGTAAAGATGTCCAAATCCTTGCTTGTCACCATATTCACTGAGTGATCCTGAGCCACATTTTCTTTCTTAGTCAATTCTAATCTACCAAGTAAAGATGAAAATAAAATGAAAATTGAACCAGGATGGGACTTCCGGTGGTGAGGTCATGGCGAAGCAGAGCAGGAGAGCGATCTCTGCAATCCTGTATCCAAATTTTCATGCTTGGAAGCTCTCAGAGGCATCGTGAAGCTTGGAGAGACACACAAATTAGAAGGGGAAGCCTAGGAGCAGAGTGGAGGAAAGCAACCTCCCACTGCGACGAGGGGAAGCCTTTTGAATCTGGCATGAAAGAAACCCGGCATCTACGGCGGGTCCGAAGCTGTGACAGCCAGCTGCGATTGGGAAGCAGGAAAGTGGATCAACACAAGACATCAGAAGAAGAACGGCAGACTGGGACAGTTTTTGAGAGGTGAGAGAAGAGAGCCCAGTGAAAGATTTTGACAGAGGGAGTCTCCGGAGAGAGTGAATACAGTGGCTAATTGGCAGGTGATAGTGGAGCAAAAGGGAGAGGAGGAAACAGAACAGTTTGACAGCTGAGAGAGAGTGCCGCAGAAGAAAGGATCAAGACTCTGTGAATAAAATCTTAAAATTTCTACAATTTGGATTGATTACTAGCAAAGCAGAAAAGAAACATTAGAGAGAACAATTGGAACTTTAATGGAGAACTGTAGTTGAACGGAGAGTGGAACCATTTTGATAGAAAGCTGTGACTGTGCAATTTGAGAGTGAAAGTGACTAAGTAATTAAAGACAACCGATGAAACAGGAAATGAGGAAAGTAATGTGACGGTGTGCAGAAGAAAGGGAAAAGAAGAAGGAAGAAAGAAAAAGAAAGCACCAGCCTGAAGATGGTGAGTGGGACCTCGTTGAAACATTGCCAAGATACTCTCAATCTTACATGGGAAAAGACCCAAACACGCCAAGACCTGCATACCTGTACCTGTGAAAATCTACGAATATATATATATCAGGCTTCTGTATAGAATTCTGTATAGAAGCCTGATGATGGCAGATGAGATTCTGCTGAAACGTTGCTACAACTTTAAAAGAACTACAATGACGTGGGAAAATACCCGAACCAAGCCGAACACCATACATGTAAGTACCCGCGAAAACTTAAGAAAACACACACATATATATATGTGTGTGTGTGTGTGTAGGTCTAGGTGTGTTTGGGTCTTTTCCCGTGTCCCACTTGGGATCCTCAGGCAGTGCTTGCATTGGCACAAAGCCGAAAGCACCAGCCTGAGGATGACGAGTGGGACCTCGCCGAAACGTCACCAAGATACTCTTAATCTTACATGGGAAAAGACCCAAACACACCTAGACCTACATACCTGTACCCGTGAAAATCTATGAATATATATATATATATGTTGTGACTCGGAGATTGGAGCCTGCTCTGTTAGAAGACACAGGCTCGAGTGATGAGGAAGATTTGGCATTGAGGTTTGAGCCTGCTTTGCTGGGAGACACAGATGTGAGCCAGGAGGAAGAAGACGATTTGGCTGAGGTTTGAGCCTGCTTTGCTGGAAGTTTCGGAATCATCTTCCTCCCCAGAATCTTCCTCCCTGGTTGTGCCTCAGGTGTCGGCAGATAATCAGGAGAGCGTGCCGGAGTCCTTGGCTCAGGATCAAGCCGAGGAATGCTGGTTTGATGCAAGGCAAAGACACAGGCAGAAACGTGAAATACAACGTAAAAGGAAATGTCAAATCAGGGACTGAGATAAGAGACTGACACGCCCCTCAGGGAATATAAGGGTGTGTGTTAGCTCTGAATCTAAATCAACTTGTTTATTTGAGTTAGCAGTTTGGACAAATTCTCTGTGTGGTGTTTGCCTCTGATTTATGGTTCTGCTCGTTATCAGACTTGGCAGGCAGCTTCTGGAAGACTGCCTAGGACTGCTTCAGCCAAAGGAATTTAACTCTGTCATTCCTGGTTCTGTCTGTTTGTGTATTTTCCTTTGGAAATTTGGACTCTCACCTCTCTCTCTCTCTCTCTCACACACACACACACACACAGACAGATATATATATATATCTCCTTAAGTTTTCACGGGTATTTATATGTATGGTATTTAGCTTTGTTCGGGTATTTTCCCATGTCATTATAGTTGTGCTTTTAAAGTTGTAGCAACGTTTCGGCAGAATCTCATCTGCCATCATCAGGCTTCTGTATAGTGTTTGTCTGTGAACACTATACAGAAGTCTGATGATACAGAAGCCAGACACACACACACATATATATGATTGCTTGCAAGAAGAATTAATTTATGTATGCTATTTTATAGATTGCTACATTCTTTATAACTGCTATACCCTATATATCCTTTATATCCTTCCTCAATTTGATACTTTGGATAACAACTAATTAATCAATTGATGTATAACTAATTAATGGCTATTTATTGATCCATAGACTTAATTGAACTATAAAAAAGTTATAAGATATAGTATACAAGAAAACAATCAAACACATTTTTATCTATATTTATTGAATTATATATGTTTACTATATAAGCTATTATATTATATTTAGGATTATACTTAATTCATTTATTAAAATGATTAAATAAGATTAGAAAATTAAGAGGATTACAACTATCATAGATTGTAAACAATAACAAAATTTGGTTTTACATTGTTGTATAAATACATATATATATAAAAGGTGTGCATAAAATTAAGGAGAGACATTATTAAGTATATTAGACCTTGTAGTGATAAACTGAAGGGATTAGAATAAGATAAAAGGGAAGAGATAAACCCAGAAAACGCAGAAGGGAGTTGATACCACAGATGATAATATTGAAAGACTTTCTTAAGAAAATAGGTAGATTTGAGAAGCCTAAGATGCCCACCACGACAACTATTGCTAAGTCTGGGAAGAAAACAACATCCAACCCAACATCAACGATATAACATCACCAGCAGGATAACGTTCGATAGAGGACATGCTGAATCCTGAGGAGACAAGTCAGGTATCAAATATGCAAACAATTCAAATGGCATTAACAACAATACAAGAAATGATGGTGAGAAACCATGCAGACTTTAAAACTGAAATGAGGGAAATGAAAGGTAAAATATGGAAACTAGATG